TTTTCCTTGAAGAATAAAGACGAAAAGAATGACAAATACAAAAAAAAAGGTTATAATTGAAAACAACAACTAATATATGAAGCTCAGCATATCTTTTTTTTCCGCAAGACTACACACAAAGAAACAAGTGAATTTATCTAATTCTTTTTCTTTTCTTGTAAAAAAAAGAAAATTACAATTATTATAGACGACAAAACAACACGATGTATTTTTTTTTTATATAACAAAATAAACAAAGGCGGAAGAAAAAATGAAATTAACAAGAAAAAAAAGAAACTAAATTTAATTAAAAAGAAGAAAAAAAAATATTAGTATTATATGCCTTACCCCATGATAAACATCATTTGATTTTCCTGAGCAGATAACACATAAACGTAAAATCGAACAAACACGATTATTTAACATTTATTTTGATTCACGATTATAAATATCTAATATCTATACACGTTTCTCGTTCGTCTATTCGATTTTTGTTCCTTTATATATGATTGACTCATTTCGTATATAGATAATGTTGATAAATGAATCGAATCACCTGTATTGTCTACCTGCCGGGTATATCACCGCTATTAGTTACACCTCGTTCTTTCTTTTTCTTCTTCTTCTTCTTCTTTTTATAACCATTCATTTCGAGTTAGTTCGATTTTATTTTAAATGCACATACCACACATAACAGTGGAGAAGAGTCATACAAAAACATCAATCATATTTTGTTAATCGAATCGACATACAACATATAATATGTATTATACTATCATTCTTTTTCCTTTTTATCTTAAGCTACAGTTTGTATATATATATAAATATCTATTTATTTATTAGAAACAATGGATCGATTACAAGATCAATGTTTTTTGATTAAATATAAATGCCAACTAAAATGTTAGCATAACTTTTTCATTCACATCCATATGTTCTTATATATCACATACCTTATTACATTTCTTCATATCTTTATATTTAAAAGCCATGTATTAACTAAATATGTTTTTTGTTAATAACGAAATGTATATGCATAGACATGTATATGCGTATATATAGATAGACAAGAAAACAACTATTATAGTAGATAAAAATCAAGATGTAATCAGCGCCGAAAAAAGCATCCAAAAGCTGCAGGAAATATCGAACAAGAAAAAAAGACTGTATTCTACAGTATTGATTAATCTGAGCAAGAAATAGAAATGGATATCTATTATAGAATCGAAGCAAAAAAAAGATTGTCTCTAGCATTTTAATCAATATAGATCCGTTATTAGATCGACCATACTACTGTGCCTCATTGTGATTGCTCAAATGTCAAAAGTGTTCTGTTTTGTTCTATTTCAGTATGTGTGTGTGCTCTCAAAAAATGCTGATTGCTCTTTCCTTTCGTCACTATTATTTTCTATCTTTTAGTTTAGTATTAATTCTCGTCACCGTTATTATTGCAGCTACATTAATCTTTTTTTCTATAACTAGTACTCCAACCATAAGCATCAATATTCTCCACAATAATCAAATTTTATTCGATGCATATATATATATATATATATACACATACATATGCGCTTTCGTTCTCTCGTCATTTTTTCCCCTTAAGCAGTCACTGTTATTTGCTTAGACAAGTGAGTTTGAAAAAAAAAATCACTAATCTACTCACTTCATGAAAACATCCTTTTGAATCAAGTATATTCATCGTTTGTCGCAATGATGTTGGTCTTGAAATATGCGTTTGTTGTTGTTGATGATCATGATTATTATTATTATTATTATTATTTGTCTCCTGTATTTGACGAGAACGAGACAAACGTTTTGCTGATGTATAACTGGAACGTGGTGAACCTCCTCCACTTAGATTGGCTGTTGTTGCTGTTGTTTGAGAGTTTATATTGTTATTATTTGCTGATTGTCGATTAAATTTAGTTGTGGAAAAAGCAGATGGACCTCGTAAACGATCATAAGATGGATATGAAGCTATCTGTGGTATAAGAACAATATGATCTGACTGAAAGCATAAAAATTCAGGTAAATTCAATGTTATTTTTGTCGATAATTGTTGTGTTGTTGTTATTGTATGAGATTTTTTTCTTGGTAATAAATCAAGATATTCTTCGAGGTTTAATTGTCGAACTTTGTCTTTAAGAATTGCTGTTTTATCTAATGATGAATATTTTGTAAAAATTTTGTCACGATTATATGTACGATTTGCACTTGATGCACGTTGTTCGGTTTTTTTTCTCATATTTTCTTGATTTAATAATGATTCCATATATTCATGTTTACTAAGTATAGCTGGAGCTGATAAAGCAATGCCAGCTGAAACAGCTGCTTGTTTTATTGATGGCGAACGTGAAGGACGATGACTTGAGGCAGAACGCTAAAATGAATAAATCGATTGTTTTTTAACATAGAAAAATAGTCATAGAGAAAAAAACGTAGTAAATAAAAAAACTGAATTTAGATGAATGTTAATAGAGTTAGTTGTTTGTTTGAACGGTTAATATGATTAAGCAAAAAAATAGAGTAAAACAAAGAATAGATATTCATATTAACATAATCTGATTAGTTTAGTAGTATATTTCTGACATAAGCTTGATTGTATATTCCGCATATATATTTTCAATGCAAATATTTTTTTCGTAAGTATTTACAATTGTATATGTGTGTGTTTTTTCTTCCGTAAATGAACTAAAATTTAAATTTATTATGTCAAGTCTGATTATAGTCATATATAATAATTGATTGTAGATGATTATCATTAAATATTCTATCTAATTAAAATATCAACGATCGAATTAGATATGTACAATCATATCTACCTATCTATTATAAAGATACTATCAATAATAATCCGCGCACATTTTTTTCTTTTCTCTCTCTAGGAATATAATTAACAAAAAAGTGTAAGTTTTTAATTTTGTTTTTAAGAGAATAGGATTATTTTAGCTAAACATAAATCTTATTATGTTATTCTTTTGTAAAAAAAAAATAGAAAGTCATTTCTATCTATTTTATCTACATCAAATTTGACTTATAATACTGCATTTTGCTAAGTATGATGAGAATATCTATACAAATGATATGCTAAAATTAGAAAGTAATTATATAAGCATATACGAACATATATATTTTTCTTCTTGCTTGTAGCTAATGCATTCTAATTTGATATACTGCTGTAATATTCCTAACAACACGAGTAATCGATTATATGTTATTGATGATTTCTCGTACCAATCTATTCTATCAGTTATATAAAATCTACTTATCATGCTTGAATCAAAATACGAATGAGCATATGCGTAAAAGAAAAATATACTTTTAGATGATGATTATTTCAGCTGTTATCAAAGAAAAAACTCATTTTTTATGCTTTATCAATAGAATTCTTACATATGTCGAGATAAATCTTTATGTACATGACAAATAGCTATAGAGTAAATTTACTGAAATATTAATAGAGTTCTTCTAAGAAATATTTCATATTTATTTTGTTTATGATTTTTAATAAAAACCTTTTCATTTATTATAATAATAATAATAAATGAGTTACAGGAAATAAGGTATTCATTTCTGCTATATGATTTTTAACAAGAAATATCAACCTCATTTAGTTTTTTTTT